ATGTATGTATGTATGTATGTATGTATGTATGTATGTATGTATGTATGTATGTATGTATGTATGCTATGTATGTATGTATGTATGTATGTATGTATGTATGTATGTATGTATGTATGTATGTATGTATGTATGTATGTATGTATGTATGTATGTATGTATGTATGTATGTATGTATGTATGTATGTATGTATGTATGTATGTATGTATGTTTGTATGTATGTTTGTATGTTTGTATGTTTGTATGTTTGTATGTTTGTATGTTTGTATGTTATGTATGTATGTATGTATGTATGTATGTATGTATGTATGTATGTATGTATGTATGTATGTATGTATGTATGTATGTATGTAATGTAATGTACTGTAATGTACTGTATGTATGTATGTGTGTTTGTAATGTATGTATGTATGTATGTATGTATGTAATGTATGTATGTATGTATGTATGTATGTATGTATGTATGTATGTATGTATGTATGTATGTATGTATGTATGTAGTGTATGTATGTATGTATGTATGTATGTATGTATGTATGTATGTAATGTATGTATGTATGTATGTATGTATGTATGTATGTATGTATGTATGTATGTATGTTTGTATGTATGTGTGTTTGTATGTATGTATGTATGTATGTATGTATGTATGTATGTATGTATGTATGTATGTATGTATGTATGTATGTATGTATGTATGTATGTATGTATGTATGTAATTTATGTATGTATGTATGTATGTATGTATGTATGTATGTATGTATGTATGTAATGTATGTATTGTATGTATGTATGTATGTATGTATGTATGTATGTATGTATGTATGTATGTATGTATGTATGTATGTATGTATGTATGTATGTAATGTATGTATGTATGTATGTATGTAATGTAATTTATGTATGTATGTATGTATGTATGTATGTATGTATGTATGTATGTATGTATGTATGTATGTATGTCATGTATGTCATGTATGTATGTATGTATGTATGTATGTATGTATGTATGTATGTATGTATGTATGTATGTATGTATGTATGTATGTATGTATGTATGTATGTAATGTAGGTATGTATGTATGTATGTATGTATGTATGTATGTATGTATGTATGTATGTATGTAATGTATGTATGTATGTATGTATGTATGTATGTATGTATGTATGTATGTATGTATGTATGTATGTATGTATGTATGTATGTATGTATGTATGTATGTATGTATGTATGTATGTATGTATGTATGTATGTATGTATGTATGTAATGCATGTAATGTATGTATGTATGTATGCATGCATGCATGTATGTATGTATGTATGTATGTATGTATTAATGCAATGTAATGTAATGTAATGTAATGTAATGTATGTATGTATGTAAGTAAGTATGTATGTATGCAATTAATGTAATGTATGTATGTATGTATGTATGTATGTATGCAACTTGCCTGCTGATCTGGCTGACGTGGGCATGGTGGCTCTTTCGCAGCCCTCTCAAGAGTTCAAGTAGATGTGACGCGTCAACGCAAACCGATGTGTCACTTGCATCTGGCATTCGCTTGAGGGCGGACTTCTCACCGCCACCGTCTCCCAGGCCCCTAGATAGCGAGGACGACTTTGACTTTGATTTCCGCCCCGGGGCGTAAAAGAAGCGTCAGGTCGGAAACAAGAGTGCAGTTTTCAAGTCACTTTCGGTTGAGACAACGTTTGAGTCCCCGCCTTGCCCCCTTCAGGTTGAGGAGAGCTTGCGGCGCGAGGCGGGCGCACGTGCCACGGGGCCATGACACCTGTCATATGCTTGTGTTAGTTAGGATCTTCTATGTGCCTTGTCTGCCACGGCGCAGGATGATAGTCTTTCAACAACTTCGGGCTACGGCTTCGGCGAGGCGCGAGCGCATGCTTCCATAGAAGGTGCTTGCATGCTTGCAACAAGATGCAAAGTTCTTGAAATTGGCTTGCTACATGCTTCTCCCAACAAAAGCCGTCTGTCCACAAAAGCCTTTTTGCTGCAGCCCTTTGCTCTGCTCTTTGCCGCAGCCCTTTGCTCTGTAGCTACATTCGTTGAGCCAGTCGTGCCATGTCGGAAGTTCTTTGGGCATCTGTGGCAACTTGCCTGCTGATCTGGCTGACGTGGGCATGGTGGCTCTTTCGCAGCCCTCTCAAGAGCTCAATCAGATGTGACGCGTCAACGCAAACCGATGTGTCACTTGCATCTGGCATTTGCTTGAGGGCGGACTTCTCACCGCCACCGTCTCCCAGGCCCCTAGATGGCGAGGACGACTTTGACTTTGATTTCCGTCCCAGGGACTTGGTAGACGCGTGGTGACAAGTCGCCGCAGCCCGCTGCGCGTAAAAGAAGCGTCAGACATGTCAGAAACAAGAGTGCAGTTTTTTCTGCGGTTGATGATCTAGAGGACGCGAAACAGACAACGTTTGATTCACCGCCTTGCGCCCAGGTTGAGGAAGGCTGGCAGCGCGAGGCGGGCGCGGGCCACGACATCTGACACGTACTTACGTTAGTCTCCATCTTCTTTAACTTGAGCTTAACCCTCGGGCCTCGTCAGCCGCAGCCCCCATGTGAAACGCGAGTCTTAGCAGGCAAGTCGTTTCTTGCATGATACTGCCATAGTGGGGCTTACGGTGGTCTGTGAGTCCAACGGCGTTTTTGATTTAAACCTCGGTCGCTAAACAGCCTCAAAATTGACTGGCAGCCAGGCACGTGGCTCCGACGAATCCTCTGAAGCAAAGGAAGGCCGAGTCTTAGCTGCAAGCTTGCGACTTGCACCCGCGTTGCCTTATGCTGCATGATGCTAAGGAGCCCTTCGAGAGGCAGGCGAGCCTTAGACGCTTCCAATGTTGCAGAACTCAAGCTCAAACGGTTCGGCGTTTGGTTTGTAGCTCTGCCGACAGGCATGCCGTTTTTTCCCGGTCGACGCTCGCCCAAAGCGTGGCGTGGCAGCAAGCACCTTGTGTTGCAGCACTTTTTGCACAGGTGCCTGGGACGCGCTCGCAGCAAGGCAAGCTCAACCCGAACGCGCCGGGTTTCGCACGCAAGGAGAGCATGGTTTACAGGCATGTATGCCTCGTGGACAGCTTGAGGGCTTTGGGTTTCAAGGTTCCGTATGAATCTAACGGCCCCTTCTTTGCTCTTCAAGATGGCAACACAATGCTCGCGCCATTCCAGATTCTTTGTCGCAATAATCTCAACTAACCCTCTGCGCCAGTTAGCGTTCCTTTATTTACTGTGTGAGTAAGGAAGAAGCTTGTCCCGGTCCTCGGCGACATGACAAGCTTCATGGCTTCGCCTGGTAAATACCTGGTGCATCGTGACTTCCACTTCCAGGGCGTCAGTCCAGTGAACTGCGCAACTTTGTGTCCAATCTTGAGAAACAGCCTGGCTCGTGGTCGTACCGCGAGCTGGCGCAGCGACTGCGTGTGAACATGCAGCCGCTGTTAGATGCAGATTTCCGCGTTCCTGGACAGTACTTGCTTCATGCAGACAATGACGGGCGTGCGCATTGTGTCGCTGCCTCTGTTGAAGTAAACAACGAGTTCGTCAAAGTGTGGGACGGCGACCTGCGGATCTCCATCAGTGTGTCAGCTTTCCAGGGCTGCCTTGCTTCTGCTGTTGATGGCCAAACTGTTCTCGGTTTTGCCATTGATCCTGCACAACCATGGCAGCACTCACAAAAGCCATTCTTTGCCTCTGCATTGGACACATTGCTGGATCTTCGTGCCGGAGCCACAGGCGCGTCGGCGTCTGGCTCAGACGCGGGCTCCTCGGACGAAGGTTGCTTTGCTAGCGAAACGAAGGCCGATGATTCCATCGTCCGCCCAGGGCCTGCAATTCTGGGCAAATTGAAAGCAGAGGTGGAGGTTGCCTTGACGGAACGGTTTCCGCAAGAGCGTGGGAAACACAGGTGCCCTTTGTGCCCATTCCGAGCTTTTGGCGATAGGAAGCAACGGGTAGAGCAGCACCTTGCGAAGCACCATGTTGCCAAAGTGCAGTATTGCCCAAGTGGCACTAAGCAGGTGAAGCTCGTGCTCGCCTTGCATGATGAAGATTGCATGCAAAGCAGAGATGGCCAAAACTATTTGCGCAGCAGCGCTGAGTTGTTGCGAATGACTGTTTGCCCGCCGCTGCCACCGTCCCGAAACAGCATTGATGCACGTATCCGGCTTGTATACACTGCTACAGGTCCCGAATTCCGCAGCTTGGCGAGCATCGTTGCAAGCGATACAGAGCCTTTGCGACGAGTCCGCAACATCTATTACACACACAGCTTCGCACGCTTGGTTATGGCTGAGATGCTCATATGCGACGCGAAGGCTTCTCAGCTAAGGTTAAGTTGTAGTTTGCAAGCTCCAGCCAGTTCAAACTAAGGGGTCTGTTGTTTGTCCATCAAGCGCATAGGGCGCCAGGATCCTGAGGTCAAAGCAATGGTTCCCCGCATCTTGCAGGCGGCCGTTCTGCAAGGATGTCAGACAACAAGCCTCTACCCGTCCCACGTCAAAGATTGGTGGCCCCTGGTTGAAGATGTATTTCTTTCTCCGAATGTTCAAGGCAAGCAGCAGTCGTTTGATGCAAGAGGCAATTTTGCACGAAGAGTTCACTGCGATCTCCATAGACGCCACGATGCGGTGCTGCTTGTCAGTACTCGGCCAAGCTCACCCAAGGGCCCCGCGATCAACGCGAACGCAAGCAGCTTTCGATGGCTTAGCAGCAAAGAGACACACGCGCCTTGGGTTGAACTGAGCAGACTAATGAGCGCACTTACATTGAACATTGCTGCTAGATTCTGCACGCGTTTCTGTCTGTTTGCTTGCTCGTTTGTATGTTTGTCGGTTTGTTTGCTAAGGTGCTATCTGTGCGCGGCAGGACCAACGCAGTCGTCCTCCTCCAAGCGATGCACACAGAGGCTGCAGAGCCCGTTGCGGCCGCTCTATCCAGCCCCCCGATGCCTTGAGCCAAATCAACTTCGTTGCTTGCGACAACCCATGCCAATTCAGACTGCCCGGCGTATTCTCAAGGACATGGATTACTCCACGCCATTCGCGCAAAGGCTCCACTTCATTCAAGCTTTGGCGGCTCTGTCGGCGGCGTACGCAGACGAAGCCTCAAAGATCGCCCCAGGGCCGAACCGGAAGGTTCGGGAGCTGCTGTGGGGCGCAGCTTCTGCCGACCGCCTGGAGTGGTATCTGAACAACACCCGGGCACGGCGTTGCATGAAGTCATCGCATCACTCTATGCTTCACGTGGGGACTTCGAGCAATGAGGCATTGCATCGGGAAATCAACGCCTGGTTCCGCGAGACGCAACAAATTCATCAAGCGACCTTGAAGTTGAAGCTGTTCATTCTTCAACATGCAAAGCTTCTGTCTCACAATGCTGCTATGTACCACCACACAATCTTTTCAACACAGCCAAGCCATGGTACTGGCAAGGGCGGCCAGTCTGCCCGCGTGGACCTTGCAGCAGTGGAGAGCCTGGTGCCCTGAAAAGACTTTAGGCACCATTCCGCCCAAGGCAGACTTACCTCTTCATCGTGAGCGGCAGAGCCAGCAAGAGAAAGTCCGAACAGCTGAAAGCCAGGGCTCGCGACAGGGAAAGCTGACAGGGAAGGTCAAGCGCACTCCCTTTTCTTTGGAGAGGCGCCAAGGACTCCGGCGCGGAGGCGTGAGGCCGACAATCCACAAGCGGCCGGCCACGGCAGAGAAAACCAGTAGGGCAGCTTGCAGCAGCTAGCACTTGCGACTCCCTGCGCTGCCCATTACTCTCGTGTGCTTTCCTACATCATCAACAGATTCACCACGCAGTGTCGGGCAATGCAGTTCTTCTTGGAATCAACGCACAGGCTCGTCCAAAAGCCTTTTGAGCGCAATTTATTCTTTTCTCTTCGGCCATGAGGCCAGGTTGCCAAGCACCTTTTTGCAGCATTAGGTCTCACCAACTTTCAGCCAATTTCTGTGTTGCTCCCGGGCTTACATATCAGGCCTCCGCTTTCAACATTGCGTTCACTTGGCTTTCCACAGTCTCGACAGACTTTGTCACAACTGACCATGGTATGAACATTAGGTTTCTATTCAGAACCATTCGGAAGGCTGGGGCTTGTTACAAGGTCTTGTGGCCAAAATTTTGCGCCGAATGGTGCAGGGGAAGAGCATGAGCATGCAGCCCGTATACCTGCTTGGCTAGACACACATAGCCCTCGCGCCAAAAGAAGACGTGAGCAGCGCTGTTTCTCGAGTCTGGAGGCCTATCATATTGAGTCTACTTGCAGCCAAACATGGCGCGCCAACGCCGCAACGTCGCTCAAGATTCCCCACCCCCCTTTGCTCTTAATCCTAGCCATCCATGCGTACTTGCTTGCGTCGCATCTTCTTGTTCTTAAGAACTTTTTTTTCGTCGCACCCGAAGCCGCGCCAGCGCAAATCACGTCAACCGGTAATTGCCGTGTCGAGAAATTAATGCAGAGCCAGTAGGGCAGCTCTGCAGCTCGCCTTGGGCAATCCTGGCGCGAGCGGCGGGCCTGACTAAGGTACATCGCTGTCTTATAGCTCGCCACCTCAGGACGAAGGGTGCCGTTTGTGTTGAAGTCAGCCCAACGCCGCTAGCGGAGGGTTGCCAGCGTTGGCGGGAGGGTGATCGCTCTTTTAGCCCACCGCCTCAGGACGAAGGGTGCCGTCGTGTTGAATTCCAACCGGAGTCAGCCCAATGCCGCTAGCAGAGGGTTGCCAGCGCCAGCGTTGGCGGGAGTAGGACAAAGGGTGCCGTCGTGTTGAACTCCAACCGGAGTCAGCCCAATGCCGCTAGAGGGTTGCCAGCGCCAGTGTTGGCGGGAGTAGGACGATGGGTGCCGTCGCGTTGAACTCCAATCGGAGTCAGCCCAATGCCGCTAGCAGAGGGTTGCCAGCGCCAGCGTTGGCGGGAGTAGGACAAAGGGTGCCGTCGTGTTGAACTCCAACCGGAGTCAGCCCAATGCCGCTAGAGGGTTGCCAGCGCCAGTGTTGGCGGGAGTAGGACGATGGGTGCCGTCGCGTTGAACTCCAATCGGAGTCAGCCCAATGCCGCTAGCAGAGGGTTGCCAGCGCCAGCGTTGGCGGGAGTAGGACAAAGGGTGCCGTCGTGTTGAACTCCAACCGGAGTCAGCCCAATGCCGCTAGAGGGTTGCCAGCGCCAGTGTTGGCGGGAGTAGGACAATGGGTGCCGTCGCGTTGAACTCCAATCGGAGTCGGCCCAATGCCGCTAGCGAAGGGTTGCCAGCGTTGGCGGGAGGGCCGCAAGACCAGGTTGCTCCACCCAGCCATCCGCCCGTCCTTGCAAGGCCTCATCTCATGCCTCGTTTTGGTTTGTGTCAGCTCATGATTGGATTGCTGGATGAATGAATGAATGCATGAATGAATGAATGAATGAATGAATGAATGAATGAGTGAATGAAAATGAAATGAAACGAAATGAAATGAAAAATGGAATGAATGACAATGAATGCATGAAATGAATGAACGAATTAATGAATGGAAGGAAGGAAGGAAGGAATGAAGGAATGAATTGAACTGACTGATTGATTGACTGATTGATTGGTTGATTGGTTGATTGATTGATCGGAAAAATTGACTGATTTGATTGATTGATTTGATTTGATTGATTGATTGATTGATTGATTGATTGATTGATTGATTGATTGATTGATTGACTGAATCAACGAACGAACAAATTAATTGTTGGAGTTACGTAATTAATTAGCAAAAACTGCTATATTAATAATAGTAGCAGTTGTTGGTTTAGTTATAGTAGTACTAAGTTTAGTAGTACTAGTAGTAGTAGTAGTCGTCGTAGTCGTAGTAGTGGTAATAGTAGTAGTAGTAGTAGTAGTAGTAGTAGTAGTAGTAGTAGTAGTAGTAGTAGTGGTAGTAGTAGTAGTAGTAGTAGTAGTAGGAGTAGTAGTAGTAGTAGTAGTAGTAGTATTAGTAGTAGCAGTAACAGTCTTAATGTAGCAGTAAAAAAGGACATTGTAGCTGATGGACATAATTTAAAAATGAAGTCGTAATTTATAATTTCATGACTATAGTCATGTATAGTTAAGCTAAGAATGATACAAGAGTTTATATGAAGACGGTATTCTTAGTTTTTAAGGTAATAGTAGTAATATTAACGGTAACAGTGGTGGTAGTGGTAAAACTAGTGGTGGTAGCAGTAGTGGTGGTAGTAGTAGTAGTAGTGGTGGTAGTAGTAGTAGTAGTATATAAATGAAAGAACTGTAAGAATTGCTCAAAAGAAAGAAAATAATAGAAGAAAGTGTAAAGTATAGTTAACTTAACAAAATATAAACATTAAGGTCCTGTTGAATGTAAATGTAAAGTAGTGGGGTTAATTGAAATACGTAATGCAAATTGAAAGGGTCGGCATAGTTGATATGAATGTTATTGTTAGTTGATTTTAACGTTTTTGAACATAATAAAATATTGATATTTTACATAAAGTAATAAATTGAATATGTTGGAAAATAAGTATATAGAATAAATGAGAAATTTCAAGGTACAAAAAGTGTAGTGATATACGCACACAACAAATACTAATACTAGTTGTATGGATGGTGATGAGTTGTATGAATTTAACAAGAATAATCATATTACACATAGTATTGGTAATAGGAGTTAATTTGGATTGAAAAGGAAGATAAGATAAGGAAGAAAAGGCTGTGTGAAAAGAAACGCAACAAGAACAACAAACAAAATGATGAATAAAAAGCAGTAGGAAAAGACGACCATGAATTAAATTGAAATGACAAACAATAGAATTAGTAGTAGTAATGATAGAACGCCAATTAAGTAGTAGAAAGTAGATAATAATAATGAAAAATATAATTACATAATCGCAGAAATTGTATATTAGAATATATAATATGACGTTATTCATTAATAATTGTAAAGCAATTCTATTAGTAATAGTAATAATGTTAGTTATAACAATAGTAGTAGTAGTAGTAGTAGTAGTTGTTGTAGTTGTAGTTGTAGTTGTAGTTGTAGTTGTAGTAGTCATCGTAGTAGTAGTAGTAGCAGTGGCAGTTCTTGAAAAGCTTTACAAGAATATTTAATTATGCAATGTACTAGTGTTTCTGACTTAATTGTTTTTGTTGTAGTTTTAAGAATCTTGATTTTTTAACATTTAGAAACAGTTATAGGTTTAGTTTTAGAATCTTAAATACAATATAAAACCGAAATGTTATGAATAGTGCTATGAACGAAATGATATCTATTTCATGTTCTAAATGTAGTAAGTTAAGTATAAATATTGAATAGGTGATGATATGAGTATAAGAATAATGTATGAACGAATATACAACTATGATGAAACTATAAACAATACCAAGAATGTAAGAATTAAGCATACATATAATACAGTGGCATTAAACATCATCTGTAAACGGCATTTATCGTAGTAGCCTTTCTTAATTAAGTTCTAGTTTAATCTATAATATTTATTCATTAAATAATTATTAGATTATTTTAAAACTTATTATGTGTTCTGGAATATGGGCATAGTAAGGATTGGTATAGTTTGAAAAGATAGGTATTTTTTGGATAATCATAATATATGTGTATAGAAAATGTATTCAGTAACTTATATAATAATGTAGAATATGCGCAGGATCATACCCGGCAAATGTGTTAGAAAAGGTCCCTGCCACATATTAGTATGTGTGTCGGTATATAATATAAGTGAAGCGCCTGGCTGTGCCCTGTTGATTCAAACGTTATCCCCAATATGGGGAATGTATCAGCGGCACCTACCCCAAGAGAACGTGGTTGTGCCCTTTAGGTGATCGGCCACCTGGGTGAGCATGAGCAACGGATTTAGGAGTTGCTCTTTGAGGTTTTCAGGTGTGGAATCTGTACAGTTGTGGTGTCACCCACTGTTGCAAGCTTGTTGTTGCGATCATCATCATGTTTTGCAAGCATTCGCTTTCACATATTATGCCACTTTGCAAATGATCTACATGCACCAGCCAGTCACGTCACAATTAGTCCTAATTCATGGTGTGGAACACCAAACGGGGCAAAATTCCTTTTTGGGGTGAAGTTCCTTTTTGAAAGCACATCGGGGAAAGAGGGATTTTCTTTTGCAACAAACAGCTGCATTACAGAGGTTCCCCTCTGAAATGGCTATGGCATTTCGTGGGGAGCACCTTCTGAAATGGTAGGTACCCGAAGTGTCAAAAGGGAACCTTCCAACCGGGTGGTTCTTTTTTTTTCTTTCTCCTGCCCTTTTTCGATTAAGATCTATCCTTGGATCAACGCTGTGCAGGCCGTGCATGTTGTACAGCAGATGCGCAATGCCGGGTACAGCGACGAGTGGGCAGGCGCCTCGGGTACGCCTGGTTTCAAATGAAATGTTCCAGTTGTTTGGTTTATATGAACGTCCGTTTTGGGCCGGTTCCCCACCTCTCAACAGCGTCGCAGTACGCTGCATTTCTGGCTCCCTGGACTGTGGGTATTGATGTAGATGCGGTCTACCAGACCTCAGTGGTTTTATTTGCATGCTGTGCACAATTGTTCACATGTCAAGCTGGAAGTCTGGTGCAGAGTTTCCGCAAGCAGCAGGATACGGACTTCAATTGTGAGAAGAAGGTCAAGGCATGCTGAACACCCTGGATAAGCAACGGAGGGGTGACATGTTCTGCCAGGCCCGAGTTTGGTTTAGTCATGTTTTCCGCTCCGGGATTGGTTTCGCTTCTTTTTTCGGCGACCCAGGGTCCAATTTCTTCAGCTTATCCTTCTTTCGACCGTTGCGCTTAGAAAAGTGCTAAGGAGTAGGTCCTGCTTGAAGGTAAGGTAAAACAGGGGTCAACGACCATCCTCAAGTGAGCGCTTAAGTGGCATGGAACATCCAAAGCCGAGAAGGAATTGGGGGAGGGGGTGAGCCCTGGAATTTGTTTCGTTCATGTTTCTTTGTGGGTTTCTTGTCCGCGCCCCCGAGGCAGTGACGCTTTGTCGGGCGCTGTTCCGGCGCAAGGAGCGAGACCTGCGCAAAGCCTTCCGGCTCTTTGACCAGGCCGGGTCGATCGAAAGGTCTGACAGGGCTGCTCGATGCAAACTCAAAGACAGTCAGCCAACTAGGTCAGTGTAGGTGAACGGTTTCCTTTGGTTTAAGAGCTGCCAGTTTCTACCCCTTGCGCTGTAATTCGCGAACCTTTTTCAGGCCGAAAACAAGTGACGTCGGATTTCAGGTTTTGGTTTGCGAGCGATTTGGGGGCGTGAATTATGTCCGACCGTTGTCGGCAGTGGACCTTTGGCGCCAGATTTCCGCAATACCAAGGGGACCTCCTTTAATTGTGATACAAATGCCACAGGGATGCACATCTTACTTATGGTGTCACAGAAAGGGCAAGTTCCACACTTATCATTGATAGAAAGCGGTCCCTACCAATGGGTTTGTGTCCTGTTTCCGGTCCTATTCTTTGGATGGCTACCATACACAGACTTGATTCACCTTTCAATCGGACTTCAATCTAGGGCTGGTGCATTGCCAACCAAAGAGCTCTCAGACCTGACCAGTGGGAACCAACAAATTCAGCCCTCGCTGGCCTGTCCTTGATTTTGGGGCGTGCAGATTTGCTCAGGGTCCCTGAGTCGGGTTCATAGGCCTTTGGGCCTATGTCAAATGGACACGTGACACCCAGGCATTCGAATTGCAAAACACGGGGCGTCTAGTGGGTTCCTTTTCGGGCTCATTTGAGCGTCCGATTCTGAACACCTCCAGCGTCTCCTTGAAGTTCCGTGCTTCCATGTGTTGCAGACATCTTAATCGTATAAACATGCATGAAGAAAACGTGCTCATGATTGACTCTATACTGCTGACACCTGATTAGTAAACCTAAAGACTTGCCTTTTCCTCCCCTTCCTGGATGGCCAATACTTTGAAGAGGCCCGCAAGGTGTGGCACAACAACACTCTGCTCTCATCCACCCCTCGAGAACTGTCCCCTTGGCCAAGCCGATACAATGAAACGTAGCATTGCCAATGCGAATTCCTCTTGTCGTAAGGGTGTCTTTTCCCAAAACCGGGAGAAGAAAACGAAACGGCAACTTATTATTGCATGTTGTTTCCACAATCAAGGCTTGACAAGCTCCTAATGCAAGGTACCCCCCCCCCTTCAGGGTGAGTTATGCCAACGACCTCCCCCTCCCCTGAGCTGGAAAGCAAGCACCGGCTTCCTTTTCTTTACTATTTTCTTAATCATGGGGAACCACTACGTGTATGTGCTTACACGTATTGAAATCGCTACGCGATCCGCCGACGCCAGTGGGGTGCAAGGGAGTTTAAGACCTTTTTGCTTTTTTGTGGAAGTCTGAAAGTGCCACAACAAGGCCTTCTTGGCACTTTCCGATTTTTCAGTCAGAAAAGATGTGTCCAAATGCAAGGGCTTCACTTGGCCCCACCCAGACCCCAAACAGGCCGATTCCAACATCGCTTGAAACAGCAAAACACCATGAAATCTGCAAAGCAAAGAGACAAATTCATAGCAGCAAGGTAACCCCGATAATGCTGGCGATGCAGATCCTGCGCGTCCGGGGGAACCCCTAAGACCCAGGCGAAACGCTGGTTTTTAGCAGGCAAGCCCCAAAAACACTGGAAAATTACAGGGTTTTGGCCATGCCCAAAAAATGGCAGCCCCAAAAGCCTTCGGCTTTGATAAGAGATCCGATGCGGACTGCCATCTACTCGCTCAACTGGCGTCGGCGGAATTTGTCCTAAATGATTTATGGTACAGCCCATGGACCTCCGCCCATATTTTTCTTCCTCTTCATGTAAGTATATGCATCTGTTTTTCTCATACACACATATTACACGCATGGTGAGTGGCACCTGCCGCATGGGCGAGTGGACCTCCCGTCCCGAGCCAGGACCGCTCTGGCTACATCGAGGCCGCAGAGCTGCGTCAGGCCTTGCCTTTGATGGGCGAGGAGGCGCGCGGAGTTTCCGGCGGGGACGCGCCACACCAAGTGGCTATGAGTCAAAATTAAACCACCAGGATATGAACCGCAGGTTTTAGTCTATGTTTCCATTTACCAGGGTTCTATTTTGGGTACCTATTTTTGACCCATACCCAAGTGGCACGGTGGCGCTTCTTTTTGTGCGTTTTTGTGGGGCGCCCAGACATCCGGTTCCTTAGCTTGTTGTTTTTAGTTGAATTTAAGCCCACAAGTTAAGTTATAAACGTTTAACAGATGATCTCAGGGAGGGCCCCGTTTTTGGGAGGGCCCCGTTGATTGGGCGGGTTTAAAAGGGGGACCAAAGGGTGCCCTATTGTTTTTATCAGACAATTCCTAATGCCTGTTGGCTTTTGGTTCTACCATGGTGACAACGGTGTACATGTGCCTTGCAACAATCCCTAAATCAGGTAGAACGACCCAAAATGGCCATGTATTCTGTAGGGAGGCCTGGCTGTTGGCCAGAAAGTCCCTGTTGAACAGAATCCCTCAGAGTCCTACGACCTGTTTGTGTAGTGAGGCCAACAAAGTCAACTTAACCATGTTGGTAGGGCCGGGAGTTCAATAGTTTTGGGTGCTGTGAATTTGCACCAACGAGAATCGACGGGATCTAAGCTTTTGACTTGGGACTGGGGAACTACCTTGGAATCTGGAGGTCGGCATTCTCAGGGAGCATTGCTGCAGTTCTGGCAATGTTGACCCGGTTGTTTCCCCAAAGGTGAAGGATCCCGTGAGGAATGCGACACCCCTCCCGCCAAATCAATCACGGGCTTTCCAATCCTGGGCCCATGAGGACATGTTCATGCACAATTGGATTTCCTTTGAACCCGCAAAGGGTTACATTCTTGTGCTCAGAGGGAAAGACCTTGGGAGGAGCGTAGACAAGGCTAGATCACTTCCTTGACGTGACACCCTCTCACGTCTTGGTCAGGTGCCCGACTCGCGTATCAATGAGCTCTTCCAGCTGGTGGACAAGGCCTGCCGTTTTCAAGACCCTTGTTGAGATCATTTGGGCGTGTCTTGTGGTCGTAGCCAAACCACCCTGGATCAAAGGGAAGAGGCAAACTGCAGGGAAGCCCGGTTGGCTCGCTGAACGAGACTTTCAAGGCCTCATACTGTGGATGGACACACCCCTGCACCACTTTGAAAACATGGGAACCCAATGTTTGTTGGTATTTACAGGGGAGTCATCATTCCAGGGTTTCTTAGGTGGTGCGAAATGGATTTCGTCCATCCGCAGCATTTTTGGTCGGGCAAAAGCTGAGGTAGATTTCTGGGAGCCTTGACTTTTCTCCCCCTGAAATGCTGGACCCCGCATCGAGGACAAAACCGGCTTGATCGATTTCGAGGAGTTCAGTGCCATGGTGGGGCTCCAAGCCGCGCCAGAAACACGACCAAACCACCGGTGCTTTTTGTTGTGTTAAAAGTTAAAAGACACAACACAGCAAAGAGGTCCTCGTCTTTCGCTTTCCCTGGAGACCAAATGCCCAACATGTGACTTTGGAGCACCTGAGTTTCCTTTTGGGCCGATATGCACAGGAGGCAATACATGAATCCTGTCATGATGGGGCCACTTTTGACTGCACTGAGGTGAGTGGTTTGAACAGCGAGGAAGGCGCGAGTTCTCATGACTGAATGAATCAATGGAATCAATGGAATCCATGGAATTTCGGGGGTCCTTCGTCATTTGGGGCGCCTTTCGTGGATCCCATTGGCCACAGGGCATAACCTATGACGATCCCATTTTGGGGTGAATGAACATCCATTTGCCACCTGTTTGGATGTTCACCAGGGGTTTCCTGGGTTTTGACCCACAGCCATGTCAACTTGGGCCAACTTGGGTTTCACCGTCGCGCAGCGCCGCACAGGCGAGGCAGATGCCTTCGCCGCCTTCCGAGCGTCAGCGGAGGTGTCGGGTGTAGGGGAATGTGCGTGTCAGACTGCACTTGTTGGGGGGGGGGGTCTTATTGTGAAGCAACCCCATGTTATGAAGAATGACAAAGGCAAAGGTAAAGAATTCGAGACACGGGGTGGAACTATTATAAGGGTCAGCGCAATCTTAGGTGTCAACTAAGTCCCTGCCCAAACAAGGAATTTGCAGATATGTCCATCTCTGTTTCTTCTGATAGGGCAAGCTCTCTACGACTCTTCACAGCTACGTCCAGCAAGAGCATGTGCTGCAAAAGTTTGCTCTGCAGGCATGTTTGGGAAGCCGCTCAGAGTCTGGGTATGCATCGGGGTAAGCAACTAGCGGGCATGGAACCAGCCAGGCGAAAGCATCCTCTTTCTGGGCTGTACCTCGTTACATGCCTCGTTTCATAGCTTTTGCTTCGTTACATTCCCAACCCCAGGTCCAGCTGCCCCCTTTTGGCCATCACCGGGCTAGCGCAGCTGCAACTTTCTTTGCTGGTTTGTGCTTCATGGTACTCCTAGAAACTCCTACTACCTGTGGGAGTGTCAAGCGCTGTTTTCCAGCTACATACGAAACAAGGGCCCCCCGGAACATACCTCTTCCTCTGAATTTCAAGATTCGTGCCGCGTCGCACGTTACATACCCTCAAAAGGTCATAAATTCCCATTTAGCCGAAGTTGATCCTGATAGCTGACCATGCTTCACTGTTCTTGGCAAGTTTGTTTGTTTCCAGTACTTGTATAGCAGGGGGCTGCAAAAAACCGTTGTTGCTATCGTATTCACGGTGAAGTGTGATCCCTGAGAGATTCCCATCATTCCCCTGCCTGGCATTGGCGCCAGGGCACCCTGGGTGCGGTAGGTGGAGCTGTCGGCTCCATGGCATCAGGCGGAGCTCTGAGTTTTTGCTCCGGTCGCCGGTTTCCCCTTGGCTACGGTGGGGATAAACATGTTCTTTCTACGTCTAGTTGTTATAGTGCCTTATTGAGACCGGGGGAAATCGTGCCATCGACTTTCATTTGACTGTACCTACTGATCATGGTAGCTGGAAGAGTTGGGACTGAGACTCCCTATGGCAACTGTAAGTGTAACAAGCACAGGCCTATTTTGTTTGCACTTCGCTGACTCGCCTGACTTACCTGGGACCTGTTTTACCCTTTGCATTCAGAGCCTCGCTCAAAACTGGATTTGCAAACTAGGGACTGCACTGCGCATGTGCGTGAAACATGGGTTCTTGACTTAGGCACAGGGGCCATCGAGTTGTTCGAGTCCCCTCTTGTCACTTCAACGAGAGGCTGACCCTTGTTGGTGCATGATCAGCTAGAGTGATGTTGGGTTCCCATATATTTTTACCCAGTTCCCGCTAGTTCCCAAGACAATGCCATGCCTGCAGCTGTCACATGAGTCCTTTTGCGGTTTAGCATGTCCAGCGACTCCATGGGTCCCCCAACATGGCAGCGGTTGTCTGTTGGGTTGCTATTGTTTTCACGCCATCCAACAGGTCAATCGTTCGGCCATCCACAGGGTCCCCTAGCCAGTATTCACCCAAAGTAATCCTTCACCATACATGGCCATGGGTCAAAAGCCCGTACCCCCAGTGAACATCCCAATCCCCACTAAAATAAAGCCTAAAATGAGTGGTGCACCTACCCCAGAATGGGATCCCATTGGTTTTGACCCACAGCCGCATGGTTCACGGGGAATATGTGTTTAATGGAGGAGGCTTAAGCTATACGTTTGCGAAATCTTTGGGTTCTGATCTGAACACTAATGACAAGATGGTCCCCAGCATCAAGACATTCGAGTCGAGTCAGGGCTTGGCTTTCCGCTCCATGTATTCGATAGTTGAATGGGAATGTGAACCACCTGTAAACAAACATACAGGGTTGCTCCGAGCCTCCCACCAATGACCTCACACAAAGGTGGACAATTGGTGTTGTGTCCGTTCGTGTTTCTTTTCTACCCAAATGACTTGTGATGTCTTGTGCCAGGGACTTTGCAACACCCCTGACATGAGGCTTTATTTGTATTTGTTACCCTAGTATTTGCTATCTTTCGGGCATATGAGACTCCTCTATCAAGCCTCTTGGTGCCAGCCAAGAGGTACGGGTGCCGCCCTCTCGGCCGTGTCCACGGCCTGGAGTGCCAACTTGCCCGGGCTGAGCGGGAGCCTAAGTGCTGACGGCTGGGCTGTTTTTAGGGGACCCAAAAAATCAAAATGGTGGCTTTCCTTTGCAACCACGAAACATGGTAATTACCCTCAGGAAAGACATGCCCATTGATTCCGAGACCTTTGACCATGAAGCTTTAATCTGGGTTCCCGTATTTCAGCTGGGTGAGATATCATTTCATTTGCAACCTCGCCCATGGAAGCATCGTTTTCAGGCTGGTGAGTGGTTATGCTCAGAAAAAAACAAAAAAACAAAGTGAGTTCGCACATCTTTCTGGACAACTTTTCTGGCATCCTTTGCCTGTGCACTTTGTGTGTTGAGTACGAGATCGATGATCCGCTGGTTTTTCCGCGCGGAACCGCAAGGCCCCTTCGAGATGCGGAAAGCTGGGGCGGCGACCCCGGGCTCTGCGTGCTTCTGCTTGCAGAATGGCTTTATGGTGTGTTATCATGGCTTCTCCCCTACAAAACGGAAGGAACCCAAAATGTTTACAAATGGTGGCGTTTTTTTGGTGCCATGTGTGAATCTGTGGAGTATGTTTTATTTTTTTTGGGCTCCGGGCCACTTTCTGTGATGCAGGGATTCCGGGGACGTGCTGTTTTTTGTTTTAGGGGCCTGCCACTGCTTGGGAGACGGCTGCCTTTCAGGCCTTTGTGGGAGAATAAGGGAATCCCCTAAAAGATGTACAGAGATGTTTGAGGGGTTCTCACCAGTTTATTTTCCTAGATGTTCCCAAGTCTTCCCAACATTTCCCACACCGATATCCTCAATGATGTTGAACCCCTTGAGAGTTTCCCTTTGTGTTGTCCAAGGCAGGAAATTGTCAGCAGGGTCCCTTCACAACTTGCCCACGAGCCCACGGGAACAGGAACTCTGAAAAAAAAACAGCCAGCGGCTGATCTATTTGAATCTAAAAGGAACTTGAAGGATTTCCGTTTGGTCATTGGAAGGTGAAGGATGACTTGTTTGCTGACTAGCAAATCCTTCAGAGCCTTTGTTGCGGGAGGGGAACCCACCGTTCTTGTTGTTTTCTCCGCAGGCTACTACAGCGCCTCTATGGAGAAAGTATGGCGAGGTCAATTCCAGATCATCGGTTTCACTCAAGGACCTACCAAACGCCTAGCGGTTTTGAGTTTTGGCGTTTCGGAAAACGCTAGGTGAGGAACTTGCTGAGCACCTTTGTGCAGCCAAGGCCATCCTGAACAACATGAAGGCTGCCGGCTACAGCGAATCCATGGTCTCGACCTCGGGCAGAATCATCTTCAGATCCCGGGCACCCCCCAATCGCCTCCTAAACAACTAACCTTGTCTCAAAGACTTCGAATGAGACCCTCCTGGCTGATTTGCAGGAAACCATTCTTGCATCTTTCAAAGCTTACGAAAGGGTGGTCACAGCCTCTCCAGAGCTTTGGAGAAAAAGGGGGGTTTGGGGAAGGTCAAGAATTCTTCCTGCACAATGAGCCTCTTCATCGAATTGCTTGATGGCAGTTTGTTGTGCACGAAAATCAAGGGGCTTTGCCCATTTTGAACAAATCGCCCCTCTGCGCTGTTTGTGTTTTGATTGAAATTGTCGCACATGCCTGGTTTGATGAGGCACTGAGCCTGTGCCGCGCGCTGTTCTGTGGGCAGTTCGCGACTCAGATTGGGCTCGACGCAAGTTCCGATTTGCGCTCCAAATTCCAACCAGTACTTTCACCAAAAACAATACGGTCATTTCCTAGGAGTTTAGGGCGGCTGGGGTCAAAGGATCCCTTGATGGTTCCATGAATCCAACCATTCCTGATGTCCAATTGATCCAATTGAAGTAGCCATTTGAGGCAATGCGTCAAAGTTGTCTCCAAGCTGTTGGTCTGCATGTTGCTTTTTCTGCAATCACCGGGTCCCTTGATCTCGGCCTGAATTTCCAGTGGTCAATTTGGAGACGGCGACGCTACGTTGTCCACGTTCATTGCGGGCAGTGTTCTTTAGCTGTGGCTCGAATGCTTGAAAAAAAAGAACATCCTTGTTCCGACTGACTGCCAGCCCAGACTTGGAGGGATCTCTGATCTCACGGCCAAAGGCTTATGGGAGCCCTGCTAGGTGCCGATCGCCGAGAGCCACAATAATGTGATCTCACAAAGGGAGTGTGCCACCTCACCCATGATGCAGGTTCCTTTCAGGGGGATCCCTTCTCTAAATTTCAGGTGTTTTCATGGTATGTGATAACATTTATCTCTATATATATATATGTATATACAATACAGAATATGATGCGCGTATTCGCACAGACACTCTATACATATTTGCCAATTTGGTGCTTAGCTTTTTCCCAGACCCCCTAGTAACCGTGGCCGGAAAAGGCAAGCTTCGTCCGGCAGGACAGAGAAGCAGCTACAGAAGGCTTACAAGTTCTTCGATGCGGATTCAAATGGGAGGCTCGCTCGAGCGAGCCCAAGCAGTGCGTTTCGCGCATGGCCGGCATAACCGAACTCGGCTGGCTATTTTCATTTCTGCATTCATTGTCCGATTCCACCAGAGCGTGTCTAGGTCCCCCAGTAGTGCCCTTTTACCCCTTTTTTTGGGAGGGTTCCCCTACTAAAATAGACTACAGAAAAAAAGGGCACCCTTATTCATTATTCTAACCTCCCTACTGGAGGACGTAGACCAGAGCTCGTTGCAATGGGATCTTGTTTGGGCGAGACATGGCCTCCCTCCCAGAAGCTGCTTTGATGGAACTGCGCTTGGGTAGGCCAAGGTTTTGGAATCGGTACTTCAGAAGCTGTGAATGGGCTAATACTCACTCTGTGAATGGCCCATTGGACGAGATTCTCGAAAGGGAGCCGCGGGGCTACGGGTGTTGGTCAGTAAACAAGTTCGGGGTCTAGCTGTTTTGGCATGCTGGAATCTCGCAGAAAATGGACATTGATTTCACATTAGGCACCCCATGGCTCTTGCCTTTGGAAGTTGACCGCACCCGAGAGTTGAATGTCCCTGCGCGAACCCAAGGTAGCGTTGACTCATTGTAAAGCTACCGGACCGGTTTGCAGATCCTTTTGCCCAGACTGTTCAAAAGCAGTCTGCAACGTCCCTTCCCGTCGGCTGCGAAATCTGGTTCCTCAGTGTGAACAGATTTCAACTTTTGCAAGGATCGATGTGAGTGAGCTCAAAGAAGCCATGAAGCTGATGGGCGAGGTCCGCATTGTGCCGTGAGTCTTTCTTTTGCAAAGAAAGCTGGGGACTTTAGATGGAGGCAGAGTGGATTTGTTGGACTGGATTCAGATGGCTCGTTAGCGAAATCTCTTTGGGTGACAAAGTAGTCCTGGAGCTGAGAAACCTAGCTTGGTTTCATAGAACCGGTGACAGTGCACAACTTAAGCGTGTTTGGAGTTGTGTCCTAGTACCATAGGCAAAGGAACTACAAACACTTCATGGCCTCAGCAATATGGTCGGCTGGATTGAATTGGGTGGTGTCCCAAGAGTGAATGCAGTTGTTCGATCATGCATAGTTTCGAAAGATGTAAAAGGGCTTATTCTTTTTCTTTGTCACTGTGCCGAGGCCTACGGAGCATCAAGAGTTGTGAATTCCATTGTGTGCTTGTGGAAGGCGAATGCATATAGCTTCAGGAGGTGAAAGATGAGGAGATCGACGACCTGTTTAAAGCCGTGGATCACGATGGGAATGATGCGATCAGCTTTGAAGAGTTCTGCGTTCTTGCCACAATCTCAGATCGCGAGTCTTCATTCAGTCCCGGCTGTTGTTCTAAGACTGTGTGTGACAAGCAGTGCGGCACTGGAACGCAGAAAACGAGCCTTTCACTAGCGTAGATGGGGGATGCCTTTAATCAGTTTGTCGGGGCTGGCGAGTTCGCAAGCTGTTCCTTGCGCAGGTATTCACTGGGGGCCACAAGGGAAGTGATGCGTCAGCATGATTCAGCTCGAAAACCACTTGCTAAAGGTGCATTTGTACCGGCAGTTGTCGTGTATCCCTCTGTTTAGTACTCACGTTGATCGCGGGCACAGGACAGTTGCCTTACAGGATTTCTTTGTGATCTTGAGAAGGGTCAAGCACGGAGTCCGAGAGAGAGACCCCATGGTGATTTGCAAACGCAATTATTTCTTCATAAGGAACATCTCAAGCTCTTGTTTTGGAATCCTCTGAAGGTGGACTATATAAACGTCCCCAGCGTTCCAGAAAGGGCTCCTAACTTTCGGCAACCACTAGATCACTTAGGAGGCTCCCCACACATCGGAAAGCAGAAAGCCACCCGAGGTCAAGGCGATCAAAGAGAAGGGGGACAAAGCAGACACCAGTGTCCTGCAGTGCCCCTAGTTCTGTTCGCTTGAGACAACTCCAACCCTCGCAGCAAGCCACAAACAGTCTGCTCTTGGGGCCCCGGCTTCCGTTTGCTGAACTGTGGGAGTGCCAGTGATCCGAAGTTGTGGAGCAGAAAGTTGGACGTGCCCTGGCAGCCGTTGTCCCCTTGACCGAGTCATAAAAGCTTGGTAAGGTACAGGTTGGGATCAGCGTTACATCGACAGGGGCAACCATTTCCTAGACTTATGCTTGCAAGACCTGGTTCGCTGGTTCGGAATGACAGCGGGGGGTGTTAAGTGAATTAGTTGGATTTCACAAAAAACACAACATGAGGTATCCATAGTGTTGGGCCTTCCCCGTCATTTGCAATGGTTTAAGTGAGTGCTTCCAAAAACAAGACAAGCACCCCTTCAAGTGGTCCGTTGCTTTGTTGCTTCTGCTTTTCATGTTAAGCCCGTGCGAGAAAGGGTGTCCTGCCAAGTAAGATACTTTGGCAAACTATTGCAGGGTTCCCAAAGAAAGAGGGCACAAGGAGTCCTTTTGGGTGCAATTCAGGGATCTCTTTTGACCCATCTCCATGGTAGGCAAACAAGCAGCTCGATGCAAAAGCCAGAATAAGAATTTGCCTTGCTATTAAGGGGCAACAGACTGGAGGGTTACAAAAAGGGGCTGACAGGGCTGTCCTGCTTCCCAAGTGGGAGCAACCTGGGGCCCCAGCAACCCTCGTGGGCTTTGTGTTGTGGGCAAACCAGCGGAAAGAAACAACAGCTGCATTTTGGGGGTTTGTGAGTCTATTCCAAGACTTCTGTGCTTCCCCGTATTCCAAGACACATCCACTCGGAAAATGCCAGTCCTTTGCAAGTCCCATGGCAGCTAAACCAGAAAACCCATGGCCCCTACTGTGAGGTCTGCGGTGTCCAGTACCTGGGAGAAGCTCTCAGCAGGTCGGGAGCTCATGGTATTTCGGGGTAAACGCCATGCCCAAACTTTTGGTTTTGGGAGGAACGACGAAGGATGCGTGTTGGGTTAGGATATATTTGACATGCAGATATCATTCATCACTGGTCTTTGGTGGATCCTTACCGGGAAAAACAGCAGGGGTACCTATCCAGAGGAGCGTGGTTGTGCTTGTCGACGTTGAATTCGGCCGACAAGCACGAGTCGCTGCTTGCAGGCGCAAGGTCAATCAGGTGACTTTGGATTACAAATCGACAAGACCAAGATAGTTGTCAACATTGGAGACCACGGTGCTCATGTTTTTCTTCACCAAATACAACATCAACCCTCTGAATCAAGGGATCCTTTCCTCAGAAGGGGACCTCTATCATGGTACCCCGCTATGGTTTAACTATGTTCACGGCCCTCAGGAACAACCCCTTTCCAACTGTAGACAATCCGAAATAGATCTGTTCGGGAATCGTTCGGGTGTTTCAGGAGGACGTTCTGGGAACTGACTCGAGACAAAGAAAAACAAGATCGGCAAGATTGCCTGCAGGCTTCACGGGAGGCTACAAGTGATGGCTCTGCGTGGGCCCGCCTGAAGGGCGAAATGGCGAACGAGCGGTGGTTTCAACACCTTGAAATGCGGGGGCTGGGAGGGGTCACCCCACGGGTTGCGCATTTCTTTGTCTTGCCCTTTGTGTAAGAGAGGACCACTCTGGCTGTTGGTGGAGGGGTTGTTGAGTCTTGCTCATTTCTTTGAAAACAAACAATGATCAACATTCGGAATCGCCCTTACAAATTCGGTGGGCCCTGGCCAGATTTGTGGTTTTCGGATGGAGTCCTTTCAAGAGCCTTGGATGTCACAAGCACTTGCACATGGCTTTTTTGGGGGGGGAAATTCTGGAAACACATGCTGAAATCAACATAGTCATATTGACAGAACAACAACTTGATCCACCCTGCTTTGCACAAAACCGCTGAAAATGCTGGTTGTTGGCCCAAAGCAAGCCTTGTCAGTGCCTGAATCATAAGTTACCAGGATTCCCAATGAAGTATTGCCTGCATTGACGTAGCTGCTATATTCAAAGTGGACAGTTTGCCGCATATGTATACATACACAGTTGAACATGAGGCTTACAAGCGCTTTTCAGGGCTGATATTTCCTCTGTGGGGCCATCTAATTATCATTTTGCGGGTTGCGATTTTCTAAACAGACTTTGCTTTGGGCGGAGATCTGTAGCTTGGACAACATGCGAGGGGCTAGGTGACCTTTCTGCGAGCCCCTGGAAGAGCTAATTGCTTACAGCTAGCTCCGACGGAGACGTTGGACGAGTTTTTGTGTTACATCCTGGGATTACATCCTGAACTGACCGAACATGTCTAACCTAGGTTCTATTTGGACATAGCTAGTTCGATACACTTTTTGCTGGTGGTCGGAATCTCGGGCTGGAATACAACTCTCGGCTCAGTCTGCAAGGAGCACACTCGGATCGGCGAAAAGACCTCGGGTTGAGCATCACTGCCAATGAACAGATGTGGTGAAGTTGCGTGCGCATCAGTTTGAGGAGCCTTACCTTTCATTAGGGGTGTGTTAGCCCGAAGGTTGAACCATCAACTTGATGGGCTAACTCACCCTTGGCCCTTCGAGAGTCTACAAGAAAGTCAGTTGCACAGTAATTCAGATTCACAGCGAAGTGAAGCCAACATGAGACGACGTACAGTACCGCATTTCAAGGCAGGTGCCTGGGAGAGAAAACCGTTGGATCACTCCCTGCGACCAGTTTGAATGCATGATTTGTGGCTCTAAAGTGATATCAAGATGTGTCACCGCTGGAAGTGTGCTGGGACATGATTGTGCTGGGAGCACGTGTGATGCACCTCTGTCACCCTGCATTTAACACAGATGCAAGGCCAACACACAAGACAGCGAAGCATCTGCTACACAAGATACTTCCGGTTTTTGGGGAGAGGATGCACTGCAGACAGTGCATATAGCTATATACCCAGCATGCAAGCAGCAAACAACTCTGCCAGAGGCTCAGACAGATCTGCAGTTCGCCCCAGGCTTGGGCGATTCAATTCCTCATTAAGAAATCTGGTTCAAGCCAGTTATGTTTGAACGGCATTTCACGAAAGCACTGCGGAGTTCCCCTATAGCCATCCTGAGCAAGTTTGGTTTGGGTTGCGGGGCAGGCCGAAACAGCTCGGACGAACATCGCAATGTGTATTGGCCAAATCACGTGCTACTTGTTCGGTTGACTTTTGCGGCTGTCCAACAAAGCACTGCATTTCTCTTTACAGCTCGAGCAGTTTAAACATACACGGTTGGTTGCCACAATGATTTAGTGTTCTTCCGCCTTGTTGCTCGCTGGTAGGGTCGTAATTAGAAGCCAGCCACTGGATATTTCACAGGAAAATTGCCAAATCAAGTACCCACTAAATACTGCAGTTTTCTTCCTGGCTTCCAGATTGACAGTAGAAGCCAACTATGAAAGAGAGACAGATCCTAAGGTAGGAATGGATCTGAGGTCATGTATTATCTCCCTTCCCTTTCTGGTCTTTAGGGAAGGTATGAAAGAGAATCGATTAGAGATGGAATGAAGGTTGGGAGAAAGGAATGACCCAACCCGTCCCATCTCCCATTCCCACTCCTCTCTTCGTTCGGGAGTGGTGAAGGGAGAAGATAATGATAGAAAAGATGATTCCCTTTAACCCGTCTCCTGGATCTATAGGTGAGACGGGGAAAGGATAATAAGAAAGGAATAGATAAAAGAGATAGAAAAGATAAGATACGAAAGGTAAATAATAATAAGATAGAAGCATGAAAAGTCAGCGTCCCCTTTCAAACTGACATAAGTAGGGAGCAGTGTAGTGGAACCAAGATGAATCAGCCCTGGATGAATGACGGGTTGACACGCGACCAGCAGACAAAGGGCCCATTGACCCGCCCACGTTGCGAGGCTCGTCGTGGGCGCTCTGGTGGCCGCTCGGACACCTCGACAGAGAGGACAGCGCGGATCGGGGTGGGCGGGCGCGACCGGGCGCTGGGGTGTTGGGACTGCGAGGTCTTAGCTGAGCTATCAGTGACAAATCCATTCCATCCGTGCGAGTCTGCCAACTGGTGAAGCAACTCAGGCTGGTTTGTGGTACTTGGGCAGAGAGTGCAGTCAGATATCAAAACACGGGTAATTGGAGGGTAGGGATCAGTCCCAGCACACGCGTGGGGATATCCAACTTGTGTTTCTTCGCTTATGAATAGTTGTTGGGCCAATCCACTCACGAAATGAGACCAGGGTCGATGTTTTTCTCGGCCTTTGATTTATGCCTTCCGCTGGAAGAGGGGAACCCTGCTACAAGGGGACACCCTTGATTAAAAACAAAAATGGAGCAGCCTTATTAGCCGGGGGTTGTCACCAGCAGTTTAAAGGAAGTGAACCAATGTGAATTCGTAGCGTCAAAATGGGAGGTGCCCCTTTCAACAGGGCTCAACATTACACCTCGTTCCCCAGTAGCTTCGTTTTCTGAAAACTCCCCAATTTGACTTCAGAGTTTGCAGGGACTCGGGACGTTTTAAGCCAGCCCCGAAGCTCGAAGCCCACCCCCGAATGGTGTAGAGCTCATCAGGGCTCAGAAAGCCTTAGGGCAACTAAGCCTTTGGGGGTGGTTTGTAGAATCCCTGGTGACCATTGTGGTACGTATCCAACTTGGCAAGGTTGCTTCCAACCGCTGCAAGTAACAAACATAAGCCCAGGCTTGCCCTGTTTTCCATTGGCATTTTTTTTAATTCCGAACCGAGCGTCGCACGAGGAGTTCCAAGGGCCCGGCGGATCCCCGACCAAGCAGCCTGGACTGCTGCCGACTAAAGCCCGAGGACCCAGCTGGCATCGATGTGTGTCTGCTTGATGTCCCCAAGAGGACCTTTAGAATTTCTGTGCTGCATTTTAGCCATTAGACAGTTTGTTGCCCCTAAGTGTCCAGCATTTTAGCCTGTCATACCGCCCCAATGAAGTCTGAGAGAGCTGCAGCGGGTCCACATCTCTCCAGGCAGTCCCGACTCCAAGCACTCGGGCTTCTTTGGGCGCGTCCCAAAGAGGAGCCAACGAATCGATCATTTCTGGTGGTTCCCATTTGCGCACCCAAAAGGGGGTCCCATTTGCGCAAGTGTGTGTGTGTGTGTGGTGTGGGTGTGGGTGTGGGTGTGTGTGTGTAAGTGTGTAAGTATGTAAGTGTGTAAGTGTGTAAGTGTGTAAGTGTGTAAGTGTGTAAGTGTGTAAGTGTGTAAGTGTGTAAGTGTGTAAGTGTGTAAGTGTGTAAGTGTGTAAGTGTGTAAGTGTGTAAGTGTGTAAGTGTGTGTGTGTGTGTTTGTTTTGGAGGCCTTGCGGGAGGTATGATGACACATGTGGGTATGGGTCAAAATTAAACCACCAGGGGACCGCAGGTTTTTGTCCATGTCTCCATTTACTGGATTCCATTTTGGGTACATATTTTTGACCCACAGCCATGTGAGGCAACTTTCAGAACCATCCCCAGCTGTATGTTTTGTATTTGTCAATCAGCGTGCAGCATAATGTATTTAGTAGTTTGTTTGCTGAATGATGTTTTCCTCGCTCTGCTGGTTAACAAAAGAGGTTGTATGTAACCCATAATTTTGGTGAGTGTGCGAGAAGCAAACTAACGGGGATGGGTAGCTGTGTGCGTGTGTTTCTAGACCCCCTGACTAGCAAGGGACCTTGGCTGATGAGTGTCATCGGGAAGTTCCAACCAAAACTGCCTCAAAGGGTGCCCCGTGTTTAAAGAACAACCAAGAGAGCAGGGTTTGCTTCGCGATCCCATTCTTGGGAATGTATTTTTCTGAAACCGCTTTGTGCAAGAGGGGCGGTCGAAAGATAACACCTGCAGTAAAGAGAGAGAGAGAGAGAGAGAGAGAGAGTGAGCGAGAACGTAAGCACCGTGTCAATCTCATTTGAGGCTGCACCGGAGCCACCGTTTTCGCTCAAAATCGGTGCCAAGCACAGGACTGCCGGAGCTTGAGTGCGGCAAGTTGGGTTGGATGATTGGTTGGAATGTTGATTGGCCGGTTTGGTTGGTCGGTGGGTCGGTTGCTCTTTCGGGCACTTTGCAGGAGCAGTTGGGGGTCTCGTTTCTAGGGGACCCCCCAAAATTGTATTTTTCTTTGGAGTTCTCCTGAAAACCACCAAAAAGGGATGACAAGGGTGCGTTGATCTCAGGAGATCTTTGGGAGCTTCGGATTTGCTGATACACATGGATCAGCATGTGACAGCTTGCTCCAGTGAAGGTAGGACATGTTTGTACATCAGTGTTCACCACTTTTGCCATTGAACATGCTTCCCTTTTTTCTTCTGGCGGGGGACAATCCCATGGTTTGAACCACATGTGCCCAGACTGCAATGGAAGCGGCCCGAATCGTAGCTAGGTCCCTGCGCTTCGCGAGCAGACCTTGAATTGGCGGGGGGGACACGGTTTTCTTCCACAAGTTGGCGCAAATTAGATGTCTTGTTAAAATTTGGGGACTTCGGCATTTCATTCTGTGTATCCCCGTGACACAGGGACATCTTTTCGTCGCCTGCAATATATCTAAGTGGCCCTGCCGTGAGCTCATGAAGGTTTCTCTCCTGGCCCCAGAATTTCACTGGTGTCGCTCTGGGCACAGCCGGAAAATAGCCGGTGA